ATATATGAATGATTTAACTCCCAGATCTGGACTCAGTTCGACTCTTCTTGGGTCCTCTATACAGTTTGCAATAAATCGACAGTTCTAGGGAAAGGATTTAATATCAGTAATGATCACCTTACGATGATTATTCCTCCTATCCTCAGTAACATCTTCCACCATTGACCTGCCTCTTCCAATCAGAACCAACAGAACCATATTTGCTCCTGGAACCACTGATTAACCATTTACTGAAATGAATTCAGCTGAGTTCAGATCATGAATGTTTTCTTTCAGCACTTTGTTTATAGATAAAATTGACTTTAAAAGGTCAATCATTGCTTTTACAGAGTTTTGTCTTTTTACTGATATCAACCCATAATTTTTCTGTATCATGACCCCTTCAAAGAGCCTCAGCGAAACTAAAATGTTCATCCAAAGGAGGGTATTCTAGATCTTTTTATCACTGTCTGTTCCTAACAGAATAGAACAAAACCGTATACATAAACTATGTACTTGAATTGTTGATATTGAGCATTATTCAGCTGTGGTTGATGTTAAGCTCTTTAGAAATAACGTTTGATTAATTAGTTGTAAGTTTCGGAGCTATTATCTCCTTTTTGCTCTTGTATGCTACAACTTTTAAAGGTGCTGTAGGAGATCTTCCAGCAAGCTATAGATTTGAACATAAACAACCATGCCTCTCCCTTATGACCACCCCTCGAAACCACGCCTTCAAAACACATGAACACAAAAGCTGGCTGCAGCACGTCTAGAGCAGCAGGAGCAGTGTTGATGATGCAGAGCGCTATGATCACTCCTTTGAAACTGTTTATTAACACCTAAATTAACTTAAAACGCCAAAATCTGCCGGCAAAACATGTTTGTTTTTATTATCCTGGTGCCTGCAGTTTGGATTATGTACATGAAAAACACCTTCCAGCCGCTGCGGCAAACTGCGAGGAGGCGACCGGACCATATGCTGCTGTTGAATGGGATTTCTAGTGACAGAGCACCACCGGTGTACGGGATTCTGAGCGGCTCCGACAGAAATAATATTTGAAGGCAGGATGGTAATCTGGATGAACCGACTGCTTTGACGAGGTTTTCAGGTGGACTTTCTCACTTCAAAATAGATTCAAACTACATTTTACCCACTGATCACAACAAATATAGCTGCCATTGTTACAGGCAAAGAAAGGATAGGGTAGCTCCGCCCAACGCGCATCACTTTTTCCACCAAACAGCCAGAGCAGCAAAGATGCTTCAGCCGCGCATCAGAACTAAAATTGTACAACTAAAGAACTAAACATGGGTCAATTCGTTCATGTGTCAGGGTACGGTGGGGAGGGACAAGCAGAAGACCATGATTGACGTGTCAGGAACCAATCGTGTACAACGGACCATCATTTCTGATTGGTTTGGGTTATTCATTGATTTCACACTAGAGTGGGGACCATTTATTTCAGTTTCACTTCCAGACCTTCTATTTTACTGCTTGCTAAGCGGCTGTGGGGAGATATTTAAGCCACATGGTAAAAAATGTGTCAGAAAAGATCTCCTACTGCACCTTTAAATGCAGAGAGTTCATTTTGTTGCTCTGTACTTATGTCAGTGTAATGAGTATAAAAAGCTGGAAGAAGGAAGAAAGAGAAAAAATTATACCTCTGTGAACTGAAAGTCCTCTTTCCTGTTAACTTCCAGTCTGCTGCAGCAGACGGTGATCTCGCTAAACCTAATTCTCAGTTGTTTCTTTCGACTGCTGCCACGTGCTTCTTCAGGACAACAGATTGTGTGAAAGGAATGTAATAGCAACGGGTTAAAGATAACTGTAATACTCTTGAATCTGAGCGGAAATCATTTAAAATCTATAATCAGACTGATTAAACTATGATTATTTTAATAACGATTGTTGATTAATGCATTGTATGCTAATCGATTTAAGTTAAGCCTGTTTTGGTTGGGATAAAATTTTCAGATGACTGATAAAGAAAAGAAAAGAGCTTAATAACTGCCTCAGACTCTGGCCTAATTATCAGATTTAACTGAACATGCAACCAACCAGATGGATGTGATCTAAACAGCTGAATTCTGATCCTACATTAATTAACCAGCTTCACATCACAGATGTGGAGCTGGGTTTAATTTGACTTGGAGATTCAACACAGACAGGTGAGCCTATATGAAACATTTTACTTGGCCTAACAGGCACAATGATGGATCAGAGGAAGCAGATGCTCAGCAGGATGGACTCGGCTGTTTTCTGCAGTCGCTCAGCTCCTTCACATCTCCTTCTTCACATCCCTCTTCTTTGCCTGGTCCCCTTACCACTGCTGCTCACGTGACTGCATACCTTGTGGCGTGTGTGACATCAGTATGACATCATCATGCTTTGACCCAATGAATCTGACTTCCTGTCATCATGTGACTGTCACTTCTGGTGTGATTATATAACTTGAGATAGTTTAATGTGAAAAATCTGATTTCATCCACCGCACATATGCCACCTAAAAAACAATATTATATCATATCATATTCTATTCTATTGTATTCCATTCTATTCTATTCTAATATCGGGGTGTGTGTCATCCTGAGGATCAGGTAGTTTCTCTGATGTGATAAGAATCTCTGCCATTAATGATCACGTGATTTAGTTGGCTGTTTAATTAATCAAATTAAATCTTCTCCTGGGCTTCTCTCTGACTCCATCACTGGAGAGCATCAGGACCACGGACAGCGCATGCGCCGCGTTCTGCAGCACTCCGTGCGCTGCCGTGTGTGGGTGTGCGCGCGCATTCTTCACGTGCGCAAGTGAGAGCCTCTGTGTGTGCGTGCGTGTGTGTGTGTTGGGCTCCAGAGCGAGCATCGCTGACAGATCCGACGGATCGCTTTAAGCACAGATTAATTAGCCCGGTTCGGATCAGTCCGGCACCACACCAGCATGTCGTCCACCACAGAAGTCCAGAACCAAGAACCGAACCAGGAGCCGCCTAAAGAGACGACGAACGCGGAGCAGAAAGAGGAGGCGAAAGAGGCGCAGGGGGAGGAGAAGGATGCGGCGAAGGAGGAGGTGAAGGTGGAGGAGAAAACGGAGGAGAAAAAAGAGGAGAAAAAGGAGGAGAAGAAGGAGGAGGAGAAGGTTCAGAAGAAGGAGGAGAAGAAAGATCAGAACAAAGAGTCATGGAAGGATTTCATCTACAATCCCCGGACCGGAGAGTTTCTGGGCCGAACCGCCAGCAGTTGGGGTAAGACGCGGCCTGAGGCGCGCACACGCACGGTTCTATGGGATCACTTCCAACGAACCCAGGCTTGGTTCGGTTCGGATGATTTACCCACGTTCTGCTGCAGCTGAGGGCCAAACCAAGCCGAGCCGAACTGAGCCGAGCCAATATTAAAAAGATTAATAGCTAATGTTGAAGCATCTAAAATCTGTGTTCATCATATCCAGCTAATTATTAAACCAATTAGATGATTAAAAAGGAAGTAGATCAGCTTATTAAATCAATCTAGTTCATTGAACCATTAGTTGAGTTCACAGTTCATTAAACCAGCCCAGTTCTGATTCTTTCTGTGGGTTTCACTGAGATTAGATCTAAATGTTTAAACGTTGGTTACAGCAAATCAACCTGAACCTTTAGTCATTTTTCTCAGACTTTCCTCCATCAATGATCCAAAGTCATGAAGAAGATAAAGCTGTCTCGCTTGAATGCCAAAATCCAGCAGCAGCTTTTTGACTAAAATCCTGAATAGACCTTTTAGATATAAGGGTGCATAGATGAATCAGTGTATGAAGCCAAAGCAGAAAAACATAAACTATTGATTAATTGTTTTTTTTTAATATGCCAATTGTGTGATTATTGCAGGATTTCCAGATATTTTCTCATCATCATACTCCCACTTCCGTACTTGTCTCCCAGAATGATGTTCTCTTTGAAGATATGTTGATTTTACAGCACAGTTGATGGGACACTCGGCTTCCTAAAATGTCCACTTTGGTTCCATCTGTCCAAAAATGGCAGATATGAGTTGTACCTTTGTGGGTTGGCATGGTTCCAGCCTGTAACCCTTTCTCATCCATCTCTCTTTCTCATTGGTGAATCATAAGCCCTTGGTTCTTGATGAGCTCTTTGAGTTATTTCAGTAGGTCTACCACACCTGAGAAGGATCTTCATGATTGGATAATCATTCTCAATTTAGTTAGTCTTTAATGCCCCCAAAATCTCAGAAATTGCTTTTTGACCCAGTCCAGTTTGGTAGATGTCATTTTATTTTCTCACTTGTTCTTGATTTCCTTCAGTTCCAAAAATTGTCCTGCAATCTAGACCCTTCAGCCTACTTCATGTTGTTAGACAGGTTACTTATGTCTCTGATACTTGGATTCACGCTAGGGTCTGAATAATGAATCCAATCAACTGGTTTTCCTTAGATAGAACACTTTGAATCAATTTGGATGTATGATCTGGTGAACTGTAAAGTGCCTTAAGATGATGTGTTGTAAATTGGCACAATATAAATTATCTGATTTGAATGAATGAAGCGGAAACAGAAATGTAGCTAACTGCAATCAGTTCAGTTTAAGAAGGAATTATATGAGTTTTTTTTTTGGTTAAGATGCTTTTCTTTTTTTTTTTTTTTTTTGGTTAATATAATAAATGGTCCTTTAAAAACTTTTTGTAATGCTCAGTAATTTCTGTGTGATATTAGAATTCGACTGACAAAACAAAATGTATAGGTCTAACAAAACAAATGGGTATTTTACGAAGGGGTTTGGCTGGTCCAATCGGTGAAGGAGAGGATGTAACTGGGCCTCACAGAGAGACCTTCATTCATTGGATCCTGAGTTCATCCATTTTCTTCTGCCATTGCAAAACAACCAGGTTAACCAATTAAGACTAAAAATAATTTTGAATAATTTATGTGTGAAAGTCATACCATACCATACCATACCAGCTTTATTTATAAAGCACTTTAAAACAACCACAGTTGATACAAAGTGCTGTACAGTTTAAGAACACAACATAATAAAAATAATTTAAAAACAGTTTAAAAGCAAAAAACATACAATTTAAAACTAGATCCCACTGGTGTTGAAAGCCAAGTAAAATAGATGGGTTTTAAGACGAGCTTTAAAAATGGGCAAAGAAGGGGCCTCTCTGACCTGCAAAGGTAAGTTATTCCATAATTTGGGGCCCATAACAGAGAAAGCCCTGTCCCCTCTGAGCTTCCTTTTTGTTCTCGGTTCCTCCAAGAGCAGCTGATTTGCTGACCTGAGAGACCGATGGGGTACGTAGGGATGAAGAAGCTCAGAGAGGTAAGCTGGGGCAAGATTATGCAATGATTTAAAAACAAACATAAGAATTTTAAAATGAATCCTAAAATATACAGGCAGCCAGTGAAGTGAGGCCAGGACAGGGGTCACATGCTCTCTCTTTCGAGTACCTGTCAAAAGTCGTGCAGCAGCATTTTGTACTAGCTGCAGACGTGAGAGCAGCGACTGACTGACACCCAGATAAAGTGCATTACAGTAGTCCAATCGAGTTGAAACAAAAGCGTGGATCAGTGTTTCAAAATGCTGCCTGGAAAGAAAAGATTTCACTGACGCCAATCGCCTTAAATGATAAAAGCTGGACTTAACCACGGCTCTAATTTGGCTGTCCATGTAACTGTACATTATTTTAGATTTAGACCACATTAACTCCAGTCACTCTCTCTATCTGCAGCCTATTGATCACTCTGTTTGAATAAAGCCGGCTGCACAGATTTGTTGTGCTGCTGAGTGGTGCAGACTCCACCCAGCAGCAAATCTTGCACATTTTGATCAGCATCCATGCCTTTAAACCTAAAGCCTCCCCAGACAGATGAACTGAAGCTAATGTTGGGTTTATTAAACGTGCTCTAGGGCCTGGTCTTTTCCCTCTTGTGTTCTTCAGGTATGAAATGCCGGTACCAGTCATGCATCTAATAATACCCTGCAGGGGGATGCTGCTGGTGCCCCTCCTCTCACTTTTCTGCCTTCTTCAGTCATGCTAACCTCTCAGCATGTAACCCCACAACTAATAAAATAAAAGCATGTCAAGAAATGTCTCATTTTTGAACATCCTTATGTCATTGATGTGATTGTTTGGAGTGAAAACTGGAACTGAGTGGTAAGTTTGATTAGCTGCATGACTCTAACACAGAGTTAGGTGTATGAGTCATAACTAGACATATCCTTTTTTCTTTACATTGGTCACTTCCTGTTTCGGTTTCCCTCAGCTCATCTGGAATAAATGTTCAACTTTTCTTGTTTTAAGCTAAAATGACAGAAATTTGTTGCTATCATACCATCTTCACTATAAGGATCCAACCTTTTTTTTTAAAAAGCCACCCTTCAGTCAAAACAAGCCTTGTTTCCACCATGACTCTGTTCTGTCTGTTCTTGCAGAAATGTTTCAAATCAGATCCAAATTCATAGGTTCAATTGCTGCCTGTTGCTTTTTTATATGCTACAGTCTTTTCACCACCACACCAATCATCCAGAACTGATCTGACTGCCCAGTTTATTTAGAGCATCCAGAACTGATCAACCAACACTACAGCTGAAAGCTCAGTTAGAACTGTCTTTACTGAGTAGCTGCTCGCTGCAGATTTATAGTCACTCTGATTTCTGCAGCCTCATACATAATTCAGAAGACAGACTTTAACACGGAGATACTTTACTAATGTGTTAGTTGTAAATTCTACGCTCTGATTAAATCAACTCTACATAAGAGACATTTATATTTTATTGATGTAAATCTTACTCATGGGCAGCAACTGAAATTCTGACATAATAATTGATTAAAATAATATTCGATGTAAATCAATACGTATTTCAACAAAACATTAAGATATTAGATTTTTTGTTTCAAAGAGATTAAATGGTGAGTTCTAATTCAGTTATCATCCATCCATCCATCCATCCATCCATCCATCCATCCATCCATCCATCCATCCATCCATCCATCCATCCATCCATCCATCCATCCATAATCTTAAAGGTGTTAACCTGCAGCTTTAAAGCATAAAGAGTAAAGGAGAAATGTTGAACTGCAGGAGAACCGTTCCTAACCCACTAAAAATGTGGAGAAGCTGGAGTGAATCCCAGCAGGCTCTGGGTAAAAGGGAAAGCATGTCTTTGTGAAGTGACTGGTTTCATAGCCAGGACAAAAAATAAAAAATATACCACCCTCAGCAGAGATGGCAAAAGTACTCACTTTCCGTACTTGAGTAAAAGTACAGATACTTGTGTTAAAAAATACTCTGGTAAAAGTGGAAGTA